CGATATTGGTTAGACCGTCATGAGTTAATATTTGATGAGAATGGGTGTGAAAGTGCGCCCCCTACTGTGCAAATGCTAAACAAGCCACTTAAAGGATTTTCCTGAAACTACTGTGAAAAATCTTTTTGCGGACTGTTTTCGGATACATAGGGTAGGCTAAATGACACAGTTCAGAAATGATCCTTCATCTCCTGACGTAACACAATAGCACAGTTGAAACTTGGAAAAAAAGGCCAACAAATATACCATAAACAGTTGACTGACTTATAGCCTGGTATGGCGGTGAAGCTGCAATCCATAAACTAGGAGGCAGGATTGGTGGAGCAAATATGTAGCGACAGTAAGGGAAAAAAGTATTTGATCCCCTGCTGATTTTGTACGTTTGCCCACTGACAAAGAAATGATCAGTCTATAATTTTAATGGTAGGTTTATTTGAACAGTGAGAGACAGAATAACAACAAAAATCCAGAAAAATGCATGCCAAAAATTGTATAAATTGATTTGCATTTAAATGAGGGAAATAAGTATTTGACCCCTCTGCAAAATATGACTTAGTACTTGGTGGCAAAACCCTTGTTGGCAATCACAGAGGTCAGACGTTTCTTGCAGTTGGCCACCAGGTTTGCACACATCTCAGGAGGGATTTTGTCCCACTCCTCTTTGCAGATCTTCTCCAAGACATTAAGGTTTCGAGGCTGACGTTTGGCAACTCGAACCTTCAGCTCCCTCTACAGATTTTCTATGGGATTAAGGTCTGGAGACTGGCTAGGCCACTCCAGGACCTTAATGTGCTTCTTCTTGAGCCACTCCTTTGTTGCCTTGGCCGTGTGTTTTGGGTCATTGTCATGCTGGAATACCCATCCACGACCCATTTTCAATGCCCTGGCTGAGGGAAGGAGGTTCTCACCCAAGATTTGACGGTACATGGCCCCGTCCATTGTCCCTTTGATGCGGTGAAGTTGTCCTGACCCCTTAGCAGAAAAAAACACCCCAAAGCATAATGTTTCCACCTCCATGTTTGACGGTGGGGATGGTGTTCTTGGGATCATAGGCACCATTCCTCCTCCTCCAAACACGGCGAGTTGAGTTGATGCCAAAGAGCTCCATTTTGGTCTCATCTGACCACAACACTTTCACCCAGTTGTCCTCTGAATCATTCAGATGTTCATTGGAAAACTTCAGACGGGCATGTATATGTGCTTTCTTGAGCAGGGGGACCTTGCGGGCGCTGCAGGATTTCGGTCCTTCACGGCATAGTGTGTTACCAATTGTTTTCTTGGTGACTATGGTCCCAGCTGCCTTGAGATCATTGACAAGATCCTCCCGTGTAGTTCTGGGCTGATTCCTCACCGTTCTCATGATCATTGCAACTCCACGAGGTGAGATCTTGCATGGAGCCCCAGGCCGAGGGAGATTGACAGTTCTTTTGTGTTTCTTCCAGTTGAGAATAATCGCACCAACTGTTGTCACCTTCTCACCAAGCTGCTTGGCAATAGTCTTGTCGCCCATTCCAGCCTTGTGTAGGTCTACAATCTTGTCCCTGACATCCTTGGAGAGCTCTTTGGTCTTGGCCATGGTGGAGAGTTTGGAATCTGATTGATTGCTTCTGTAGACAGGTGTCTTTAATACAGGTAACAAGCTGAGATTAGGAGCACTCCTTTTAAGAGTGTGCTCCTAATCTCAGCTCGTTACCTGTATAAAAGACACCTGGGAGCCAGAAATCTTTCTGATTGAGAGGGGGTAAAATACTTATTTCCCTCACTAAAATGCAAATCAATTTATAACATTTCTGATATGCGTTTTTCTGGATTTTTGTTGTTGTTATTCTGTCTCTCACTGTTAAAATAAACCTACCATTAAAATTATAGACTGATCATTTCTTTGTCAGTGGGCAAACGTACAAAATCATCAGGGGATCAAATACTTTTTTCCCTCACTGTATGAGGTGTGAGACTCCGAGCTACAGGGACATGAGTAGGTAACCGTAGTCTGATTGCTTTCCCTTCGCAAGCATGGGTTTTCTGCAGACACTCTGATTTCATATCACGTGTAAAATTGCTGACAATCTGGCCTAAACACTCCTCGAATAACCCTCCTGAAAATGAGTCTTGAGACTAAATCTTTTTTTTAAATCTCCAGTTAGGCAAACACATTACCGGTGTCTTACCGGTGGCTTTCAATTGGCTATGCATTCTCCAACAATTATAAACACAAAGGTTTTAATGTGAATTATGGGGTATATTTAACAGGGGGCAGCAGAGGGCCTCAAACTTCCACACTGAGCACTCGTTACACATAACAGAACGTGGGGGATTGCTGCCTCTCACTCCACAGTTTGCATTTATTGCCTAAGCCCAGGCACTCTCTTTTTTTTAACAGTCAATAGGGGCTTTGGTACAACACGTTATGAGAAGAGATGATAATGGCCGATCATCGAGACACATGACTGAGTAGCAGAATGCGCCCAACGTCCACTGTAGATATGGAGCGATTAAATCAACTCATGTGCAGGTGCCAGATGGATTGTTGCAGTGCAAAACCATGAGTGATGGCAAAGGCTTCGTGAGCCCTTCATACAGCAGTGGATAGATCATGGTTGATGATGATCACCCTCATGACTGATGATAGTGGAAAGATAATATTGCTTTTAACATGTATGTTTAATGGTGAAACGTATTGCTTTTTACATGTATATTTAATGGTGAAATTTAAGTAGTAATGTGTGTGCTGGTTGGAATTCAGGTTCAAGCCAAGAGTGGTTACAATTCTGGGTTCTTGAGGTAACCGAGTGACTCCGACAACACTAAGACAGAAATTTTGAAAAATCCTGGATTTTAATCCGGGTTTCTGCCTGTAGCAGGGTTTTTCGTAAAGTGCAGTGCCCCATAGTGTGTGGATGAGGTTAAATATCAGGAGATATCAAAGAACTACTCCTGATATTCTACCTCATTTATCCACGCCCTTGAACACACGTGCTTATGTGCTGCTTTGCGGAAGTTCTGAATAGATTGTTGTATTCACAACACCAAGAGTACAACTGGAATAGAATTGGGAAAAAAACCCCCCCAAAAGTACATTCTGTGAACCTGTGCGACAAAAGTTCACACTCGTATTAAATCAAATTATTCAAATGAAACACGTCCTCCACCGCAGAACATAATGTGCCGGACACACTGCCTCTGTGATTTCACAGTCTACCGGCTCTTCCCCCTCCTCCCCCCAGGATCCCACCTCCCCACAGTAACTGCGCTTCACTGAGCCTCTACATCTCCCATTACACATAAGTAACTGCGCACTTACAATTGTTCCACCGGGCTAAGGAAAGACTGGCGGAAGGGAATGTGCCGGGCGGTGAAAATCACTCGTGTGCCTAATATTCGCTCTTGCTATTACATGTGCCCCTGCATCGATCCTCGTAAAACATTACAGCCCACGCGACGATTCATACGATGACCCGAGCCTCAGCGCGGAAAATAGTTACCCCAGGAGTGATGGAAAATTAATTGTAGTATCCACGTTCATCCGCGTGTTACCAAACGGACAAAAGGAGTTACACTCTGGTTATTTCGGTAAAGTCACGTAGGTAAAATCAAATTTTAAATAAAAGAAAACTAAATTAAATCACGACGTTTCGGAGGCAACACAAGCTTCCGTCTTCAGCAAGATAGCTGCTGCATCAAGATGCAGCTATCTATCAAGATGCAGCTATCTTGCTGTGACTGTTCCACCTGAAGACGGAAGCTTGTGTTGCCTCCGAAACGTCGTTATTTAATTTAGTTTTCTTTCATTTTAAATTTCATTTTACCTACGTGACTTTACCGAAAAAAACAAAGAGTATGAACCCTTGCAGTCACGAAATCTTCAAATCTAAAAGGAGTTATTCATCACTGATAAACACGTATTATAAGATCCGCCCTTGAACCCTCCCACATAAAATCTGAGAAAAGGATTTTCCCTGTGTGTCAAATGTGAACATTTGACAATATCAATCGCTGAATTCTTATTGGCTACTGGTGCGTCATATGTCAGGGCAGCGCCATGTTGCTGCTGGCTACGGGGACACCAAGAAAATTCGTCGGATTGATGGAAATAACAGTCAATTCAAATGTATCGATTTTATCAGCTCTCTCGCTTAATTTTCCATGCGCTGCACTTAAACGCGAGTGGAAGTCAAACGTTTCAATTTCCAACTGCAATCATCGCCTTTTACCCTGTGACGCAAATTCTCGCGAGACGGTGCAGTTGCGTGGGTAATTCCGGCGGTTCTGGCGAGGTTAAAGGCATTCAGTGGGCACAAGCCAAAATCCGTTCCTGGCCTCTGCTGTGAAGGTCGCCCATCAATCGATGGGATGCAGCGATAACCAATTACCATTGATCACCGAAACCCGCGTGGGGGTCGATCGACATAGCCCAGGAGTGGAGCATAACTCGTAAAGGGGAGTGATGTTGTTTTGTTCATGCAGCCCTCCAGTGAGGATAGTATCGACTGCCCCTTATACAAATATATATGCAGCCCTTTTGTCAATCCACTGCTGGGCGATGGTCTCCAAATTCCGTGCAGGTAGTGGGGATTATATGGCCATACTTCACCGCTCTTGTCCGTGTGGGTGGGTGAAGGCGGGGAGCGTAGACAAGACAGAATCACAGTAAAACAATGGATGTTGCTACACTGCCCTCTGCTGACAACTGAGTCGCGTGGCAGCCCAGTCAAGCACGATCCAGGCTCAGCTCCGCTTAGCTTCCAAAATCTAATGAGATCGGGCGCAGTGCACGTGATTCGGTCGTAGGCCGTATATCCATCCATCGGTGTCAGCTCCGAGTTTGGAGGTCGATGGTAAATGCGTGCCAGCACTTTCACTCTTGACACGAACTCCTGCGACGATGCTCCCCACGCTGAGCGAGAGTCCACTCCCCAATCTCACCATCCCACGAGGCTCGCGTAAACACCGCGGCGATAAGCGTATTGAACAGAGCGGCGGGCACAGGAAACAAATCCGACCTGGATCGTCCTCCTCGAGCTGGTCCTCCAGCAAGGTTGGGTTGACCCCGACCTCGAGACACTTCTTGCTGTGAGCTTTGGACTTCATGTGCTTCGTGAGATTCCCTGTCGCACAAGCGAGAGAAGCACACGAGGCACCGCGACTCCGTGAGGGATTGCTCACGGTGCTGTGCACACACAGGAGGCGACCGAGCAAGCACCCATCTCTGCTGACTCTCTCGTGTCTGCTGACCCAAAAGCCAGTCCGGTCTGAGGTGCCACGATGGTGAGATGTTCAATACCTTGCCTGGTATACAGGAGATCGTGGGTTCGATCCCGACCCTGATGCTTGTTGTATATTTGGAGTTTGCGTGTGCTCCCCGTGGCCGCGTAGATGTTTACCCAGGTCCTCCGGTTTTTCCCTCCCCATTTAGAAACATGCTTTAAGATTATCTGGTTACCGTGAATATCCACGTGATAAGCCACTTTCGTTCAGCTATCATTTGCAGCCAGGGCGCTTCTGAAAAAGAGCCATACAGTGGTACCTCGGTAAACGTCGTTAATTCGTTCCAAAAGGTAGGACCGAAAATGACGGACACCAAACGAATTTTTTCCCATAAGAAATAAGGGGAAAGGAAATAATCCGTTCCCGAGTATAAGAAATGATATTTTATATGGCATATTATACATTCATGGGGTTGTATAACATAATGTAGACACTACTTATCACTAAAATGCGTACATACATTAAAATGACAGAAAAAAACCACGTGAAAATTCACAGAGAGTTACAGCAAGGGTTGTGCACTGAACGAGATCTACAGGCAGACTGAGGAGCGGTGCTTTGTCTCAGTCGTGAACGGGGTCGACGCGGGTATGCGGTGACTCATCCCGACCCATACAAGTTCTAGCAAGCGAGGCGTATCCCAAGCAAGACGGCGTATCCCAAGACATTTTTTTATCGTCAAAACACGACGTGTACCAAATTCGACGTATTCCCAAGCGGTCGTATGCCGAGGTATGACTGTATAGCTCAGTGGGCCTTAGCTGGTAAAATAAAAAGTTGTTTAGTTTTTAAAAATGCGCTCGACATATCAGCACTTGACAAGCATAGCAAACGCACGTCATCGGCACTGATATTTGTGTGGCGAGCTCACATCACACCTCCAAGTGGATGAGTAAACTGCGGGAAGCGATGCATTAATGGCGTACTGGCATGTGCATCGGGACTATGTATTTCTTACGTTTAAGTATATCCCCACCCCCCCCCTCCACACAATGTATTCCAATTGTGCAACCCATGTCATGAGATGAAGATTTAAAATTCAGAAAGCTATGCGCCACGCCAACACGGACCGATTATTTACAACGCCGCGTCGGCGCTTTCATTCACAAAAGCCGTCAATTATTAATGCGGTGCCGGCGTGCAGCCGCCGTCAATTTCAATTTGGCCTCGCGTCCGCCACGCAGCAACTCGCCCGTCACCCTTCGCTTGTTGCTGTAGAATAAACCACGGGGGGAAGAGGCGCAATGGCCGGGATTGCTTTTGGCACGCGCCGCGGGTCAGCAAAAGCGGCGCTCGGCAAATATGAACGATTTACGCCGAATTCTGAGGACCTGCGACGGAATTTCAAAACGGCGCGGCCAAGAACTCGTTGCACCTACACCATGTTGTTTTTCTTCACGCCCACCTCGGCGGTCGTTAAGGGGAGCGGGCGGCAAGGTGCCAATTGAAACGGGGCAAAGGGGCATGGCGCGCCGTTTCCCCCTCTGTGTCGCCACACTGTCGTGTAGCCTCACCTGGGGGCGCTGCGATAAACAGCGCAGGTAACGCGGCGTTAAACGTGCCGTCGTGCGAGTCTCCGCTAAGCGATCGCGACGTCCAAGACGGAGCGTCGTTCCTCTCGCACGCCATACGTGTGCATCTGAATGCTGGGACGACAGCTAGCATGTATATGCAGCCAGAAGCATGTTACCCAGCTGCGCGCTGCAGCATTTCCCATTTCCAAAGTGCATCGTGCATTCTCGAAGGAGAGATTTAATCGAAGCAGCTATCTCGCGCCTATGACCAAACGAGCCCGAATTTGCCCAATCTCACGAGATCTCAGGTCCAGCCAGGATGGGCGACCACCAGGGCTTGCCATGTGTTGCAGGTATGAGGCTGCGAGGTGTATCCAGCAGATGGCAGCGCTGAACCTCACCGCCTCGTACACACACAGCGGCTTTTCTCCGGGCACTCCCAAATGCAGCGAAGTTAAGACAAACAACTCAATAATGGTATTAGTGGTAATGGAAAACCGCTTGGGGATATGTTGTGTTGCTTACATGCAAATTTCTCACTTTAACATCACAAGCCCCGCCCACTTCGTTTATGACCCTTGGGCTACACCCATTTCAAACCTCTAAAACAGCCTACCTCAGCAGCTTTCCCCACTCTTTTTTCTCCTGATGACGATCGCTTGCGTTGCGAGCGAAACGTCGTGGTTTTTTGTAAAAAAAATGTCTTCTACGTGACTTTACCGAAAGACCCAAAGTATATGAACTCCTGGAGTCATGAAAGCTTTAAGTCAAGATTGTGTTGTAAGTCAAGTGTCCAGGTGGTGCCAGTCATCATTATTACAAGTGTTGCCCAGGATTGCCGAGTTTCATTTTTGTTCCCCTTGTTTGTTTCCATAAAGAGTTTGTACATCAATACATCATTACCATGTACTTTATTCATGATACCCCAGGTCCCCTTTGCCATGAGTGGGCTTTGTGTCACTGTACTCTCACTCAGTTCCAGATAACCCGACTCTGCAGTGTGGGATTATAGTCGTAGGAGTAGACATGCTCTGGATTGTGACACGTCTCCTTTAGCTAACACAGAGCATATGTTTGGGGAGTGGTGGTGCAATGGTTTGTATACACTGCACTCTGAACTGGGTAACCCGAGTTCAACTCCAGGCCAGTGGCGAGTGATATCTGAACTGGTCCTGGGCTTCCCCGCTTCATTACCAACCCCCCAGCACTGGCCAAATCTCGACAAATAACCCCCACGACCGACATGGCATGAGGAAGAAGCCCGAACTCCAGCAACGGATTTACACGGGGCTGTAAAATAATAACTTACTGTACGTGGATTTAAATTCCAAATACATTTTTCTAAGTTTTGAGACTCAACATATAACTCTTCTCGTCAACGCTGTCACAGTCAAATCGCAAATGGGTCTCAGTGCTCGCGTGAGTGAGGATTGTGCGACGTGGTGCTCACTTCCATTGATGGCTTACATGCCCGGCTTCACCAACTTACATTGACCAGCATGGTGAAGTATGGTCAAGAAACTCCTATGAGTGACACCGCATAGGGAGTCCTTCAAATAACACTGGCTAGACAGCAATTTTACTTATTATTATTATTATTTGTTATGGATTTATTTGCAGAGGAGGCAGTCAGGTTTTGGTTAATCATGAGAGGACATGCTGAGAGAAGGGTGACGCTCTGTGCTGGTGGTTTCCCAGCCGGAGGGGAAGAGAAAAACCGACACAACGTGAGAGGGAGGAGAGAGTCAGGCACTGGAAACGCCGCCAATACGACAAGAAAATTCAATATACATGAAAGCCAAACTCTAATTGTCTCTCTGCTATAACGAGCGGTGGAGTAGCACCCGCCTCCATTCAATTGGCAATCTTCAGCTAGCAGTGGCAAATCCACATTACTATGGCAGGGAAAAGTACATCTATTGGATGAATGCCAAATCGAACGACCACTCCCGTTCTACTTCAACATGCTTTTGCGAATTGGAAACTGCCAGAAGTGCCACTCAGCCAGATAAAACAAACAACAGCATGAACTCGCATGCAAATGCATGTGCATGCTTTTGATGATCAAAATCTGTTTGTTTTTCCCCCCCCGGGTCTGCCTGGGGCGGCTCAGGGGTACAGCGAGCGGCACGCATCACAAGGTTGGAAGTTCAGATCCCGGTCGGGGTGGACTCAGCTCATAATCCCCTTTTGGGGTGAATAAAATAAGTGCCGCTTTGTTGGAAAGATAACTGTTGTAGTTGTTTTATGGATTGCCCCGGATAGGCTTTGCACCCAGCCTTTGGAGTGTGTAATTTTCACCACTGGCTCAGGGCTGTGGACAGGAGATAAGCAACATTCCAGCTTAACTCAGTAGAAAACCACCGGTTTCTTTTCAGAGATGGATTGTCTCGATGAGCCCTCGCGTAGCGAGTTGCTGAGCGCCGTCGGTCAAGTTGTATTTATATATACACACACGCACCCCAGCACAGGCTTTTGGCTAGCCATCGAACAAAGACGGCCACTGCATAGCGCGTTTTTAGATGCGCATCTGTGGCTGTCTGGAACGCTCCTCCTTCCGATATTAGGAAACCACTGGAGCTGTGCATATTTCAATCTAGATTGAAAACTCATTTATTTAGAACTGCTTTTTGTGTTCAGTAAGTTGTCCTTCCCCGCACCTCCGATTAGCACGGTTGGCTACATACGGTGCAAAAGAAGTTCAACATAGACACATAGAGACAGAACTGTACTTGTAAGGTGGTGTCTGCTCAACGCGGTGGACTATTGTGCACTTGAACCTTTGACTCACGAGCGATGATATTTAAGGCTGCAGACGTAAAACACAATAGGCGCCTCGCAGCCGTGCGATTATTTTAGAGTAAATCCGACTCGCCGCGCTCGCCGCGACCAAAATAGAATCGGAGACTTCAATCCGAGGGGACAAAACGTCCGCCGCCCAGTCAGTTCCGTGGGCACAGCTCCCATCCCGGGACACTGTGTGTGTGTGTGTCGGAGTAGGCCGCTGTGTGATGGTGTCAATCCGCTGCTGGATGAGGGCCGTCCCCCCGCCGTGCGGGTCGTGGGGGTTATTTTACCAAAGGTCACCACGCTGGTCAACGTGGATTCGTCAAGTTGGGCAGCGTAGGTGTGGGAGCGTATAAGCACAGAACAACAATGGATATTGCCACACCGCCCTCTGCTGCCCCAGCGTAGTCCCAGAGTAGACAGGTTATACACGGTGGTGGCCCATTCAAGAATTGTCCAGGCTCAATACCTGCATTCGCTTCTGAGCTCTGACCAGATCGGGCACATTATGTGTCATTTGGTCATATGTTATTGAGCAAGGTTTGATTTCTCAATGCATATTTTTCAGGCTACTGGAAGATCAGCAGGTGGCATGTGATGATTATCCACAGCCAGAGAGAGGGACGTACTGTGCGTGGTGTGTACACCAGTCACAGAAACTCTTTCTGGGTCAGTGACTTGGACAGACCTGGCTGAAATTAAGCCACTGGCCATTGGTCATACAATAACTAAACTCGTGGAGCCTTCAATGCAATTCACCAGCATGCTGCCTAGCAGACTCGTTAGTAAGATTGATGAATGAGATTGAGAGGTATGCATTGGCCGGTTGACCTACAGGAATCCACCACGATCTGCGGTCCTCCAATGTCGACGTTAATAGCGAACGCCTGCGGAAATGTAGCAGGTGGTGGCAGGAATCGAACCGTCGAACCTGGCGCTAAAGCGGCCGTCAAAAAAATGATTTGGCGAGCGGTTGGAAGAGACGGCTTTGCTCGGGTGGCCTGGTGCCAGCCGGGTGAGGGTTGCAGGTGTGAGCATGGAACGTGGCACGAGGGGGGGGGGGGGGAGCGCTGCTCGCGCGGCAGCATGGCTGACGGAAAGCAGAGAGGCCTGCACGAGCCAACATTCGAATCGCGGCACGCACCGCATTTGGGGCTCACTGAATGCAGGCTTTTAAAAAGCAGTTTGGCTGGAATCGGATGCTGTGCGTTAGGGTGTGTATAAAATGTGTGCGTGCATACTCGCACACGTGCGGTGAGTGAGTGCGATGTGTAACCACCCCCCCCCAGCGGGCAAAGTTCAATTCCTGATCTTGATGCACAACAGCAGTGGCAAATGGAATGTGGAATTTAGTCTGGGTCTCACCGATGTCAACTCAGACCAACATCAGCACCGTGGAGACGTGCCAACCCCATGAGTGTGGTGCCAGCCCTAATCATCATCATCATCATTATGATAAGCCATTATCCATCTAGATCCTGCAAATGGCTCATTTCATCGTTCCATCTACACAGCAGAAATCGTCTCTGGTGTGTTCCCTCCTTTGACTGCCATTCCATAATTAGTCTCGACCACCAGCCATAAACCCCTGCGATGTAACAATCCTTCGAGAGAACTCAAAGCGTAGATTTACGCAGCCTACCACAATGATTCATAATGGATTTTTTGGATTGGGCCACGTAATCCTTCTGGCCAAATGTATATATTGTAACGCTCCACCACGCGATATTGGCAAATAACATTGTCACGTTATGTACTCGCATTTATTATAGTTTCAGTTCACAGGAACATTGAAGAACAATCCTCACAACCAAATTTAGCAATTAGATACACCCACGTTTTTCTTTCTGTAGGGCAGGGGGGTTTCAAGACACAATTTGGCCAGATCATTACGTGGCCTCACCCAAATTCAATTACGACTCAAACCACCTGGAAACCTGCAATAGAGCCGATTATATCATCCCATCTGTGCGGTGGAAATCCTTTCAGGCGAGTTCCTTCCTTTGGCTGCCACTCCACTGGCATCGTATTGTTATATTTTTTTATCACTTAATCATCACTGACACTATCGTCGCAACGGGCACTCGCCACCAGAAGTCCGCGTCCGGGCCTTGCTTGCTGCATGCTGCGTACCTTTGGTCTTGAAGGCGAAACAGCAGACGCGGCAGGAGTAGGGCCGTAGGTCCGTGTGCGTGCGGATGTGCTTGCGCAGCATGCTGGGCTTCTTGCAGCGGATGCCGCACTCCTCGCACACGTACTTGCCTCGTCCGCGGCCGCGCACGTACACATACTCCTCGTTTGACTTGTACCTACAGTGGTGGGGTGCGTGGGGTGCCGGAGAAGGCAGGTAAGGGGATGAGGAGTTTGGGGGGGGCGGGGGTGTGGTTTCGGGGGGCCGGACAGGCGGACACACGTGGGAGAAGAAAATCAGAGGGGTCCTGGGGAAAAAAAAAAACTTGTTCGTCAGAGCTGGGCTATTCTCTCCCGACTGTCGCTTTGATGACTCAGCCAAACTGGATAACGTAAAAATGTCTTGAAAAACAAGTCTCACCTCCGTTTCACACGTGTTGCCGCTGGGCGGGAGTTGGTGGGCAGGGCTTGGTGACATAATCATCAGCGCATCACGTGGCTGAGAGGGGTTTCGTGCTTTCCGCGGAAGATGTCCGGGCAGCCACCATTTTTAAAGTGACTGAGTAATTGACCACAAAAAGTAGCCGATAATCGTTTTAGGTCGAGTAACCGACAAGTCGCCCCAGCTCCACTGATAACCCCACACACATCTGTGAGGAGATGTCAATCAAAATTGGATTGTAAAGTGTTCGAAGGAAGCTGGCATGGGTTACCTCATATTTATAAGTACGTTATCAGGCGTATCCAGGACATCCCTCAACTGACGGGCGCGTGTACCGTACGCTGACGTTACGCGACAAAGGAAGGAACTCGCATGACAGCACGTCCACCCTGGAGACGGAGCGATGGAATCGGCTCGTGTGGAGGTCTCTAAATGGACAGTTAAATCGCAGGACTGTGCGAGAGGGCGCTGGCTTGGGGGAAGCCTTCAATCAGCAGTCGATTGACCACGGCCGATGATGAACGCGATGATGACGGTGAACATGATGACGGATGAGATGTTGAGTAAAAGAAGCACGTTCCAAAGTTAACCTTGCCGACGTGCTGAACGCGCTGTCCTTACCCTCCCTTGAAGATGCGGATGCGGTTGGATTTAGGCCTGGGTCCCGTGGGGTCGCAGGCCTCCGCGGCGCTGTCTCCAGCCTCCCGCGCACCGCCGGGCGTTGTCGCCGCCGCCACCGGTTCCACAGGGCCCTCGGGGGCAGCCGGGATCTCGACCCCGCCGACCCCGCCGACTCCGCCGACCCCGCCGACCCCGCCGACCCCGCCGACCCCGCTTTCCCGGGAGTCAACCTGGAAAACGAGGGTGGCGACTGAATGCGTCACCGCCATTGTCTCCATCGTCAACATGGTTTGAGACGTTGAGCCTCAAGTCCACAATACACCATGGGATAAATTCAGGGCAGGGTTTACCAGCAACTGTAACTGGCAATAGCTGCCGCACCATTGTCAATTGTAACAAAAAATATATTCCCCAAAGTCTGGATAAATCTGACTGCGGCTTACCGACAGTGGGCAACTGCGATGGTGAATTGCAATCAGATCGTACACAGAGGTCAAATAACTACCCAGAGTTATGTGCTCTGTGGCCCCATCTTTGTAATCCTCACTGACCTTTCAACAAATGTTATTTTCATTGGCTGGGCACAAATCCACCACTCTACACCACTGACGGACCAAGTTGCCAAAATTGTTCCTCGACAATGCTTTGCTGGTGGCAACCGCCCTAGATTTGCCCTGGTGCATAATAGCATTTAACATTTATGATATCTTTAACATGGTAACCACATGGACTGTAAAGAAGCATTTCGAGGGAGAGCTAATAGTGTGCGTAGAGACCACTGTGGTCGATACACCCAAGTCTGCAGGGGACTACAAATTTGGATTAGGGCCAAGCAGGGCCGGGGCAGGCAGGGCTAATTACGCTATAACTGTGCGTGATGTCAGTCAGTACACACTGAGGACACAGTGTGACCGCATCATCTACACACGTCCCCACCATTCATTACGTGTGGTGTCCGTGGTACGGCTCAGCTTCTGCAGCGGAAAAAAACAAAACAACCTTGCGTCTCTTGAACCGTGCTGGGCTGTACAGTGGAAAAAAAGTATAAGTATCGATGGTCAAGATGAAGGCAAGGCTTGGGCTCCCTTGGGGTTCTTATACTCATTTTACACGAACACATCCCAGCTGAACAAGTGCTGAGCCCCTCCTGGCCACTCATGGATTTTCCACTGTCAAATTTCCACGCTGAGCCAGAAGCATACGCTGGCCACAAAGAACGTCAGAGTCTGGCTGAGAGCAAGGAAGCTTCGCTCTCCCATCTGATGTGCCCTTCAAACTCCGATGTTTTCTCCCCGTAAGCCAAAACGGAATAATCCAAAGAAAAACTCTAAATTTACTGCCCTTTATCAATCTACTGTTGGATGAGGAAACCCCCCCCCCCACTCCAAGCCACGTCATCACGGGGCTGTTGAGCCATACTTATGCTGGGAGGGTTCATGAACGGCTAGGATGTCGCTCGCTGCTGATATCAGCCATGACCGGTAATAAAACGCCGGCCACCAGGTTAATAGCATGGAGTCCCCAACCGCTGCGCTACCGCAAGTAACACTGCTCAGGTACAACGAATTGTACTCGAAGCGCACATTTTGATGGGGCTATTTCTGAAATGTGCGTCGCGTTCAAGAAATGAAATGGCATGAAAATAGGCTGCTGTTTATTTTTATGTTGTGGAAGCAGATTAAAGAACATGAGGTGACCTTATGTGCCAGTACAAGGCTGGCTGCATTTACATTCTCCTCTCTGCAGTGTTAGCCGCCATATTATGCAGATAAGATGTAATAACATCCAATCTTACAATTCCAGGAATCATTGGCAGAGAGCTAATAATGCACTATGCATTTTTACAATGTTGGCAGGAATGTTACCTTAAATTAAATATACTCCACTTAATGCTAGCTTCCCCACACGTTTAATCATTCACTTAATCCCAGCTAATACATCACAAAAATTTAAAATTAGAGCAACATGGTCTGACATTGGGTCGCCTTGTGCCAGACTCTTGAAATTGGAAATAATACAGGAATTTAACATTCTTTCAGTGCTAAAAATGAAGGATGAAAGTTTAAAAATAAATACGGAAACATGTGCTGCTGGCAGTGAAGGGCAAGTACCTTAGCCAACCCTGGCTTCCACTGGCTGGACTGTACCATCTGGTCAGCCCGTGCAGGGGTAATCATCGTGCTGGTGTAGATGGACATGGTGGTCCTCTGCCGTGAACACAGGAGGCCCAGCGCGGCCTTGGTGGACAGGCCTAGGGGATTGCAGTTGCCTCTGTGGTCCAAGTCGCGCCCCCAGGAGGCATAGACCGACTCCGTGTTCTCGTCCTGCGGTACGGGGCTCGGCCGGCAGTTCACCAAGAAGCACCAGGTGACGGTCGTGGTGGGCTGGAGATTCGGAACATCCCGGGCGTCCGCTGAGACTGCCTGCTCTCGGCCAATCTCCTGCATGCACAGACTCGTCGATACCTCAGTTGCAGTGCCGGCCATGTCCGAGATGACAATTTTTATCGGTGGCGTGGACTTTGGAGGGGAACACTTTCCAGGAAGGAGGTCGTCATAGGCAGTGTCTGGGGCAGGTGGCATGTTGCTCGTGAAGCGCACGGATGGCAGAACTTGCGTTGAAATGCTCGGCTTGCACTCCTTGTCCGTTTCCTCTCCTTGAGTCACCTGCTCCAGCACGACAGAGACTTCCAGTTTGGAAAAGGAGTCCGTGGATGCTAAATCGCGGGTGGAGTTCACGGGAGTGGTGGAACTGCTCTCCAAAGTCTTGGTGGTGCAGTGCTGTCTCACCAACGTGGGCGGCCTTGACCTGACGGGTGAAGATGCTTTGACCCTCTCTGGCTCGGACGCCCGCTCAATGCCCTCCTCCGAGCCGACCGAATGGTCTTCTTCCTTGGCCCGCTTCTGGTTTTGTCCGCGGATTTCCATGGCGATTTCAAAGCTGCTCGCGGGTGACAGCATGCGCTTGCCAGCCACGGGCAGAGGCATTTCGGACACTCCCTCCAGCCCGGACACCGGCAGCGATGACAGCTGCATCTTCTCACTCAAAAGCTGGTGCGACGGTGAGGCGGGTGATGCTGGCGTGATGGGAGACACGTGAGGGCTTGCGGTCGCACGGCCGGGTCTGGGACGAGGGCCCAAGGCACCCGACACGAGCTGTCTATTGTTCCACTGGCAGATGACGACTGGCTGAGGTCTGCTTTGGGCTTGGGTGACCAGCATCTGTGAGAGGGTGGTGTACATGCTGTAGCTGTACGAAGGAAAGGGAGTCTGGATCCTCACCGGAACCATGAGGGAAGTTACTGGCGTCAGAAGTCTCGGATGTTCAGTTGCGACTATCGCTTGTGACATCCGTGGTAGGTGCAGCGGGTGCAGGGGTGTGAAGCCGCGCCCCAAAGCGGCCTGGAAGAGTGGGCTTCCGCTCCCCTTGGCGTCCGAGAGCTCTCGCGGAACAAACGCGCGCTGCGCAAACGATGGCGGTGCAGGGATGATGAACGGCACGTTCGTCTGCACCGCTATTTGCGGCACGTGGAACCGGGGCACGCCGAGCTGCTGGAGGGGCAGCTGGAGGTGAGACAACGTGCTCAGGCCCTGCACGACGGGGATTTTCAGCGGACAGCCGTAGACTCGCTGAAGCGGCGGCGGGCTCGGCGCCTGCGGGATCTGGAAATGCAGCGGCAGTTGGTGTCGGTGCAGCGGCATGGCCGGAAGGGAGAGTGGCAAGTGCAGGTGGGAAAGGGAGTAGACGGGCTGCAGCGTACCCACGGCGGGCAGGTGGCCCAGGGCGCTGCTGATCAATATAGGAGCCGGTGGAGGTGGGACAAACATCCGCTGCGCAGGTGGCGGCTGTGCGTCACGACGAGACGCCGAGGGCTTTGGAGACGCACTCTGCTCGGGTGTCCGGGGAGACATCCCGGTTGAAGACGTTCTCTGCACGTGCTGCTCCTTTGTGTCCGAAGCTTCGCTTCGCCACGACGGCCGAGAAGACGTCTCGCCCTGGGGCAGGGCCGGTTCGGGGCTGTCCGGGCTTCCGCTTAAAGACGCCTGACGAACCAAGATTCCTCTTCGCCTCGACGTGCCAATCGCCGCTGTCGACGTGACCGCTGGCGCCGTCGGCGCAGGATGCTGCGTTCCGCTGCCGTAGTCCAGCGACTTGCTACGGGTTTCGGACAGCTGCACCGGCTGCTCCGGGGCGGGTCCTTGCTCCGAGGATGAGCGGCACATCTCCTTGACTTCGCGGTGGTGGTGCGCGCTGGGCACGGTGAGGAACTCGGACGGTTTGCTAGCGGCGGCGACGATGGCACCGGCAGCGACATTGGCAGCGACGGCGCTTTGTGCTTTGGTGGCCGTGTCGTCTCGCTCGAAGGATGCGGAGAAGCTGGAGCCGCGCGAGATGCTGCTCGACTCGCCGCTCATGCTGCGTGACAGCGACGATGACTCGGTGCTCGACTCGTTGGAGGAGTGCTGCAGGTCGGCCAGGCGCAGGCGCTTCTTCTTCGGGGGCAGCTTCTCGGCGGGGAGCTTCGACAGCGTCTCGCTCCTCTGCGGCCACTGGAACTCCTGGGCCGCCTTCTCCTGCTCCTTCCTCGCGGCCTCTGTCGGGTCTTTGTCCGTGTCCTCCGTCACGAGTATCTCTGGCACCAGGAGGGTGGTCTGCTGTACCGGCTGCTGCTGCTGTTGCTGCTGATAAGGCACTGAAAATGTAATACCCTGTGTTTCTGCGCCCTCCGCCCTCTCATACTGGCCTGTCGAACTTTCCTTGAGTAAAGACACGCCACTCGATTGTGTCGTCGGCTCCCCCTCGCCCTGCGTCGCTTCCACCGACTCCGCCCTCTCGAAGGAGCTAGGTCGGCTCAGAGACTTTGTATGCTGAATCACAGAAATCTCCTTGCTGCCGGTCCGCATCACGGCCGGCACCGCCTCGAGCGCCCTCTCGACGGCCGAGTGAATGTCCTCCCCTCCTCTGCTATGAGGAGCGTGTAACGAGCAAATGCGATCGCCTCTCTGAGAAGGGTGCCCTTCCGCCGCCGCTACTGTGTACGTCGTCGCCGGGCGGCAGGTCGCAGCCGGTTCGCCACCCCTCTCTGCAGGGGCGCTACTGAGGCTCGCGGATGCGTAATGTTCCCGATGGAGGTGTGCAGGCGCAGACGATGATGCAGGAACGGTTTGTTGCCACGATGTCAGAAAGTGTCCGTGCAGCGGCGCCGTGGGCTTTTCCGGTGGAGACTCCTCTTCTTCTCCAGCCGTCTTCTCCTTCCTGCGTTTCCGCACACCCACAACGCCCTCTGAAGCCACCGCGGACACCTTGAAGTGCACCATCTGCGGCTGCGTGTCCCGCTGCGGCGTCTCCGACTCGAGCGGCACCTTGGGGGCAGTCTGCTTGAGCTTGGGGGCGTACAGCTCCGAACAATAAAACTTCTTGTGCACAGCAAAGTTCTCCGCCTTCCTGTAGCGGACGCCGCAGATTTCGCATTCGTACATGGACCCTTTCCGTCTCCTCACCTGCAAGAAGGCATCGTTCTCCGCGCTCTCCTCCTGAGAGTAGCTCTCCTCCAAGCTTCGGTAGCGCCTCGTTAGGGTCTCCCCCAAGGAGCGGCCCCTCTTCCCTTCGTCCATCGACACGGACTTGAGCTCGGAGAATTCTGGCGGTGGCGCCGCCTGGCTCTCGCCGGCCAGGGGCACCTCGATGGCCTTCTGCCTCACGAGGGTGCGCTGGTGCCCCGGGTACGGCTGCGCCTTCCCGCGCGGCGGCGTCGCCTCGTCGAAGGAGCGGCTGGAGCGTGACGGGCCTGGCAGGCGCCCGGTGGCCTCGGCCCGCCCCGCATAGCCGGGGGTCGCCGGCGTCGAGTTGCTCCGGTTGAGCGGCGCCGCTTCCGCGCTCCATCGGGCCGCCTCGGGGCAGATCGAGGAGGCGTGGCCGTGCGGCGGCCTGTGATGCTCGTCGGCAAGGCGGTGCCGCGGGGTCGAGCCCCTCGACGTATCGGGGTCGCACTCCGGGTGCTGCTTCGAGAAGTCGAAGCTGCCCCTCCGCGACCATGACATGCGGCGCGGCTTCACGCTGTCCAGCTCCTTGTCGTCCATCACTGCCTCGTTGTGCAAAATCAGCCTGGAGATGTGCTCCTCTATGAGCCTCTTCTCCAACGGCAGCTTCCCCTGCCCGGGCCTCGCGACGGTCTCCGCGACGGCAGCGGACACGTACGCGTCGGTCCCTCTCAGACCGGGAGGCACGTTCTTTCCCAGCACCATCTCCCTGTACGTCATGGCGGGCGCCGCGCCGGGCGGGCTGCCCTGGTGCTCGGCGCTCTCCGAACGAGAGAAGTAGCCCGAGTCCGTGCTGCTTTTGCTCATTGGGCTCAGCAGCTGTAGCGAGGGGTGCGGCGGGCACCTGGGCTGCCTCTGGAGGCCCTGCACTTGGTCGCTCTCGAGCCTCTTCCGCTCGGCAAGCTTCAGCGTCCACGCCAACTTCTGCCGCACCGCCTGGTGCTCTCCGGGGTGGCACGTGGTCGGCCGCTCCCTCGTCGCCTCATGCAGCTTGGGGCTCCTGCTGCGCGGCGCGGGTGGCTGCGACGGCACCACCATTCCGTGCTCCGGAACCATTCCCACGGGCTGCAAGCAGGTGGCCGCCGCCAAGGAGCCAACCCACTTTCCCTCTGCTTCGGCGGGATAAGTCGGAGGCACCGCTACGTTTTTGCTCGTCATCGTCGGAGGCTCGGGGCCCATTGATGAGCTCGCTTGGGCCATTTCCTCGAGGCCGCTCTCGTCCTCGCTGTCCGTGGTCTCGTCCCCCTCGGAGCGGCCCTCCTGCTCGTCCACGCTGCCCGACTCGAGGAAGGCCCCCTCCCCCTCGTCTCCGCTGGGCCCTGCCCCGGCCTTTAAAGCATGCGCGTGCGACTTGCGATGCTTGTACAGATTGCTTTTCGTCTTAAAGGAGAAGCCGCAGGGGGCGCAGGGGTATGGCCGCTCGCCAGTGTGGGAGCGGATGTGCTTCTGAAGGACGCTCGGCTTGGCGCACGCCCGCCCGCAGTATGAGCAGATGTACTTGCCTGGCTTCTTTGGCCTCCTCTCCTTGCGCAGCAAGTCGGTGACCTGCTCGCACACGGGCCGGACAGCGGACCCTCCGGGGTGCAAGACGTATGGCTGTGCCGCCGCGGACACCTCCGTCGACGGTGCGGCATCGCGGGATGCGGCGGGCCGCCGGTAGTAACCTGCCTGCTCTGCCCCGCAGCTGGGCGGGAGTGTCACGCTGTAGATGTGCGGCGCCGGGTGCGGCGGTGGCTGAGGCTGAAGGGACAGCAGCTGCTGCGATGGGAGCGCCGGTGGAGAGGCGGCGTGAGTTTCGCGGCCGCAAGCACGATCCAGATCGCCGTGAGATCCCGGCCACCGTTCGGCCTCCGGGCTCTGCGGCTTTGAGATGTCGACGAAGGTGGCTGGGCGATGAGGGGGCTGTGGCTCGAGGCTGCTGACTCTCGTCGTGCGGGCGGCACTCTCGTGCGAAGAAGAAGCTCGCGCCCGCGCTTCGGAAAGGGCGCTGTCTGCGTCGGCGGCTGCAGCGGGCTTGCTGTGCACAAGATTTTGTCCCGGCTCCATGGCTCTCAGCGAGCCTGCCAGGGCGCAGTCGGACACCCAACCCCCCGCAGAATCAGCTGCACACGAGACAGCGGCAACTCGAGCTTGGCCGGCGACATCTGGACCGATCCTTGACTCACTTTTGGGCTGCGGAGATTTCGGATTCTTTCCGCTCAACATCTAGGCGTACCCAAGGAAAACATCGCCCTGTGAGAACCCCGCGTTTTGCCGCGTGCCACATTTAGCTCCGGTTCTGCTCCAGGAATACATCAAAAAATAAAAAGAGTAATTTGCACCATCGAGCCTTCTCGTGTTTCCATGCAGCTGCCCTATTCTTACAAGCCGCCCCCAGATTCGTATTTTGTGCTTTCAACCGAGCAGAGCCACAGAAGCACGCGTCCATTCCACAGATCCATCACTCTGGATGTATAACTGGCATTCGGAGAAGCTGGTTTTCTTGTTTTTAGGGACGTGTTTGAAGCTCCGTCTATTGCGTTGTAAAGCCTTGTGAAAGTGCCACGTTCATCTCCACTCACTCATTCACCTGAAACAACACATGGCAAAACACATTAATTCACACAACGTAATTACCCTATTTTTCACACTTGTTTTGTTTATACTGAGGTTGCGTAATTATTATTCACGTCAAATAGTTGTATCGATGATTGACCTACAAAACAAATCACCATTGTGCCCGACCTTGTCAGATCTTAGAAGCCTAACAGAGTAAAGCCTGGTTAAACAGTTAAGATGGATGAACACAAGGGTTTGCCAGATGTTGTGGGCATTGGGCTGCACAGTGACCAGGAGATGGCAGTGCAGGGTGTCACTTCCTCGTACACAGCGTTGTGGGTTGTTGTCCGCATTTTCCAGTTTCCTCCGACATGAAGCTAACTACTCATTCAGGGAATTGGCCAAACATCCCAAACGCAGGAGCCACCTGAAAGAGAGTCTTGAGGCTCGCTGAGGATTTTCCGGGTAAATACTTGTAATTGTTCATTTCAATTGTTGTTGCTGTTGATGTATTCCCCAAAGTATTTTTTTAAATCAAATTCCCCTTGCAAAAAGAGACTTGTCTCAATGTTCTCCCAACAGGTCATGCATAAAGAAACGATTGTTATTCTATACTATTCAACCATTCATTACATTGCACATTTCAGGTAGATTTTTTTTTAAGAGAGTGAAGAAAAAATTACAAACGCACACATTCACCGCATTTTAAAAGGGCCCTATTTAGCGGTGACTGGTACCTCGCTGACGAACAGAAATGTGCGACGTGAACTGTGGCAGTGAAAATGACAGCGCCGGGTTATTCGTCATTTGTAAAACAGCAAGCGAGACATCGCGGAGCCTCCAGCAGACACGACAAAGAAGCGAATGTTAGCGCATGCAAAGCGTTCCTTTTCATAAAGTGCAAGGACAGCAAAGGTTCAGCCCCTGCAATTGCCTGCTCACGTCACTTCTGGCCTTGAATCCTCCACCAGAGGCTGCTCTCGAGAGCCGCTACCTTTTTTGACCTACTCTTCCAGTGCACTGGCCAGGCGTATTGTAAACAAAGGTGGGAACGCCCACACTTTTCCCCACCACACGTGACCTGTGATCGACTAACCACGGTGTACCCACTTACAGTGTATTGCTGGTTGGCCAGAGATAGATGGTTTCAAAGAAACTTGCGCCATCATTTCAACTACCACGCTGGGATTATTTAACCGAACTGGCCACTGCAATCGCAGTGAGCCAAGCATTGCACCACAGCGGCGTCCCACATCTTTTGTATTTAAACAAAAAACCTCAAGTACAATTATACCATTACTGGAACGGATCATGTAACCAACTGGCTTGTGCATATCACAATTTGCAAGGTGACCATTGCAAAATGATGTCTGTAACTGTGTACATGTACATCTCTTTGTCTATCCACTGCTGCATGAGCCCCTCCCCACTCCTTGTGGGTCGTTGGGGCTATTTTAACCTTACTTAACTATAAGTCTTTGTATAAACCACTGTGATGTGTGTTTGTACATCCGGACGCCACTGCACCCAGCTGATCCTATAATCCAAGGAACTCGGCTCACCCTTAAAAGATCGTGAGTTAAAATCCCAGTTCGGGGTCAGCTCAGCTCACCATCCTTCCGTGGTTGGTAAAACAAGTACCACTTTGCGGGATATCGGTAAGGGTTTCTCGCCCTATCGGAGACTGAACCCACCATGGTAATATGGAGTTTCTACCACGGGATGATGGCTGCCAATGGAAGGGCAGTGCTTCCAAAAACTAGTTTGAGCGTGGAAACGAGGTGCGATACCGATATTCTGCTTTTGGGATTCAGGATTGGCCTCACTGACTGCCCTTCAACACCCAAACCAAATTCCCCCCTCCCCTCTCCGCAGTCTCAGACTCTACTGCTCAGTCATCCGTGCTGACGACTACCGGCTGAAAAGCTTCCTCTTTTCCTCTGCCTACGACCGACTTCCCTTCTCTACCAAGCTCAAGCCACACTCTATTTGTGTGGCATCTTGAAATTCGGTTGCAGTGAAATGTTATCGAAAAGCCACGGCGTGTTGCGCAGCACTCGCAGACTGCACCAACTGAACGGACGTTCCATTCCTGCAGGCGAATGCCTCGGACGCACGTCGCCGCAAGTTGAAGACGAGACGCGAGTCGACGTGTCGACGCGTCGTTTGAGCCCAGGTTTCAATTTCAGCCGAGTCATGTCCGGGTCAGTGACCCGACAAATATTTCAACTCCCGGCACACCACGTCCATTCTCGTTATCGCTGTGGTAACTGGACGCACGCCTACTCCGGTCTGCAAGCCACCCGGAAAATATTCCATGAGAAATTAAGTCCTACACTGTTCCCCCCCCTTCCACCTCCAGGGTAAAGCGTGGGTACTCCCATCTCTTCCAAGATGTTTGACCTGCGTTAGAAAGTAGGACAAAAAATCCTTTCCTGGAGGGGCTCTGTAAAGCTCTCTCTAGTGGAGGCTGTTCCCCCTTGACTTGAACATTAAAACAATGACATTCGAAAATCTGTTGTACATTTTTTTCAATGTTCAATTCTCCATGTGCTATCGTTTCCTGCTGTCGGAGCCCAGCCATGTGGAATGCTAGGACAGTCCCCGCTGACTCCTTTTCACCCACATTCCCCATCTCTGCTGAACTCGAGGAGGCATTTCGGGGCAGAAGGGCTCAGCCAAGCACAGCAGCTGGGCCGGCGGTGCACGAGGGCGTTACGTAACATGGCGGCGGTGGCCTGCGGGGAAACAAATAAATAAACAGCTGTGCAACTGCTGGAGGAGATGGGCCTGCATGCAAGGAGAGATTCTTCCCCCGTGGGGATTTGACCCTGTCCCCTACCAAGAAGGTTAATTCTATATCACAATCATCAGCCATGATCAGTCCACTGCTAGATGAAGGCCTCCCCAAGTTGCCGCCACTCCTCACGATCACTGTGATGTAATAATTGACAAAGCATTCGCATGAGTGCTGGTTTCGTCACTCCATCTGCTTAGTGGACGTACTATCCGGCGCACTCCTTTTTCTTGGCTGCCCCTCGTGTCTCACTGTTCTTGACAATCGGCCACCATCCCTAGACATGATGTGTGCTACAGCCATGATTTGTGCTACAGGATCACCGCAGTGGCGAGATGTTAACTCCCTCGCCTGGTATATAGGAGGAACGCGGGTTCAATCCTGACCCTGACGCCTGCTGTATATTTGGAGTTTGCGTATCTCTCTCCCTGTGGTCGTGTGGCTTGTTCTCCAGGTCCTCCAGTTTTTCCCTCCACATTTAGAAACATGTGTTTAGATTATTTGGCTGCTATAAATTTCCACATGATAAGCCACTTCGTTGGATTATCATTTGTGGGTAGGTAGCTTCTTACAAAGGGCTATTTAGCTCAGTGGGCTTTACCTGGTGAGATAAAAATTGTTGAGTTTAGTTTGACCCGAACCCACTTACTTTTTTAAAAAGCCTGAACGATGCTAATAACCTGCATACGTTGCCTAAACTGTGTTCCTCTTTTTGTCTCTCAGTATAATTTGAAGCTCATGTGTCCGATGGGGAAATAATTTTGATATCAAAACAACCTAATAAAACAGCAATTAACACAATTTTTTATTATTCATATTAAATGATATGAACAAAGTAATAATTTCTGTTAATCACAAAAAAATGTTACGTATATTTTCGTGGGTGCCTTTGCAATTTCAGCCGCTGGACATACAGTATATCCGATTGGCCTCTCCCTCCCCCTAAACCGGGCCTTTGCCTCAAGGGAGAAGTCGCGGTATGGAGCAATGTTCCACAGGCGGCATGTGTTCCGTGTTCGCATGTCTGAGTTTCTCCGTGTGTCCCTCTGTATAAAAGCGGCCGGGCGTGGTGTTGGTCACCAACCCTGTGCTAGCCTCCATAGGTGCTCAGTAGCGTCCCTTGCCCCAACAGTCTATAACAGGCTACACAGGTGATGTTTGTCTTTGTCTTTGCATTCCCCCCGACCCTGTATGCCCGTTTGTGTCCGCGTGTATCTTTGCGTCTCTGCGCATCTGCCCTCCCAAGTATTTATGTGTCCGTCTATGTGTATGTACCTGTCATTGTCCGAGTGTCTGTCTGCCTTTATGTGTCCGTCTCCTTGCGTCCTATTTCCGTGTCGGTGTCTCTGTGCGTCCGTCCATTTGCGCCAATGTGTCGGTTCCTGTGTCAGTGTATGTCTCTTTATATCCATGTCTTTGCCTGTTTCGGCATCTCTGTTTCTACATATGTCTTTGGGGCCGTCCATAAATGACGTCACGCACCTGGGGGGGGGGGGAGTCAGACATTTGTGACGATGTGTGACGATGGGGGGGGGGGGGGGTTAGAAATGTAACGTCACGTCAAAGTGCGCAACTTTAAATAAATATAGACAAGACGTTCAACTTAATTAAATTGACGTTTTAATAAATATTTTCTCCTGCAACATCAGATTGCAGCGCCACATTAAATACGCACTACAATGACAATAGTTTAAAGCTATTTGAAGCATGTGTTTTTTTTGGGGGGGGGGGGGCAGAGCTTTGTGACGTCATATTTGAGGGGGGGGGGTCTGACTTTTTGTCACGCCGAGTGACGAAGGGTGGGGGGGGGGTCAAAAATCGTCCAAAATCGCGTGACGTCATTTATGGACGGCCCCTTTGTGCATCTGACCAGTTCAGATATTCACCACTGGTGTTAGCCATGGGCGTGAGTCAAACCCGGGTCGCTGGGATCGTAGCATGAAGCGCTCACCACTACTCTACCGCTCTCCACGGTCATACTCACAGATGTGCGCACACACACACACACACGCGCGAGCACAAAGACACACACACACATTCACACCACACTACAGAAATAAAAAAAAATCCCCATAGACTCTGTGCCCTGACAGCTGAGAAAACAAGGTGTTGGCATTTGGGATTGAACACAACATGCTACTGTACAACCCCACAAAGCAGCCCCTCGACTGTTAAGCACAACTGTTTATTAAACGATCGTATAAAGTGTAATTGGAGGACATTCTGGATTACCGGTTAGCTCACCAAGGGATATATTTAATTCCATTTCAAAACCTCGGGGTAATAAGCTAAAAAGGCATCAACTCGCATCTGTATGCCAGAACAGGGGCGCCCAGAGGTTCCTGGAGGCCATGGGCAGAATACCACGTGGGGACCCTTTTATTCCAGCATCCACTCGTCCCTTGTGAGGTTTGTTGTGGGGCCGTCTTTTGTGTGAGATTTAGGGAAAATTGCCCCTCTTGCCCCTCCCTGCCACCCCCGCCCTCTGGGACAGCCTTGTGTCAGAGTAGAACAGTCTCCCTCACTCTGCGCCTTTACTCGTAACACGTGGCTTGTGCTTTCGTTCATTCACCGAGGGCCGAATAAGACCTATTTGGTGGGCCCACACGTTTACAAATGTTAACGCAAAAGATAATTAGACACACCATTAGCACACTAATGCGATGCCTGCATTCATTTTCCTTACACGCAGACGTGTATGTTAATGATCCCCTCTAGCACCAAATTAGTGTGGATAAAACGCTTGCAATGATGAATACTGAATATACCACGGTTATTAATATCTGCTAGTACAGAGAGCAGTACCACAAGATAAAACAACATTTTTTTTAATTTTACCAGGTAAGGTCCACTGAGCTATACAGCTCTTTGTCAGAATTGACCTGACCACAAATGAGAGTTCAAACGAAGTGTCTCATCATGTGGAAATGTGTAGCGGCCAAATACTCTAAACGCATGTTGATTGTAAACGTGGAGGCAAAAAACGTGAGGACCTGGGCAAAATTCCACACGACCATGGGGAGAGAGACACCGCAAACTCCAAATGTACAACGACCTCCTGTATATCAGGTGAGATATTTAACATCTCGCCACCATTGCGCCCGTACCCAGATACCCTGGCATTGCATAGCAATTGGATAAACTTGACCGTATTATCATTCCTCAGAGGGAGTGCAGTGGCACTGCCCTGGTGAAGGTTTGGAGTACAGACACGGGAGCATATAAGTATCGGACAACAATGGATTTTGCTGCACTACCCTCTGCTGCCCACCGCTTAGCCCTACACCCCCATGACAACCTGTCAGTGCATGCTGGCTGCCCATTCAAGCAACTATCCAGCTTCTGGAATCTGACGAGATGAGAAGAATTCAGAGAGACGTGGCCATCGGCTTTGCTGTACGTGATTTCACAACGTCGTGGAGAGACCACACGTAACCGCCCGGCAACACCGGCCGACGGAATTGTGGGTCTAAGGAAACGTTTTGATCGTGGAAATCCTGGCGGGTCGAGGCCGCGTCTGTGACTTATATATTTAAAAAAAAAACATCGCGTGGGTTTTTTTCCCATCTCCCATCTACCCCCAACCCCACCGCCCGTCCTCCCTCCACTTTGCTCACTTGGTCACAGTCACGCGAGAGCCGCTTGGCACGGCCAGAGTGGTGGATTTCCCTGACAGCTGCTGCCGAAAAACTCACCACTCTACAGAGTCGTGAAATTACTACCACACCTTGACCCTCCCCCCCCCCACCACCGCTATTGATTACAATCACATGGAAGGAAGCATGCAAGTATAGCTGCAGATATATTACACGGCTCCGGTTAGGCACACATCGCGTGTGTGGGCGTGCACGTGTATGTGCGTGCGTGGGTGGGTGGCTGCGTGATTGAGCGCATGTGTGTGTGTCTGTGTACATATTATTGTGAAGAGCGGTGGCGCAGTGATTAGCGCCAGGGCTAAAGTTATCATGATACATTTTCCAGAGCCCCCAAACACACCGGACCCGGACCTCCCCCCCACCCCATCCGATGGGGTGGCGTCGGGGGATATTCTCTGGAGCTCAGCCACGGACAGCTCCAATTTAAATTCAGCACCGTCTGCCACACAACGGTGTGGTGCATCACATCTGCGCGACGCTATACATTTCGGCGACCCGGGTTCGATTCCCTGTCACGACGGCTACATCAGTGGCAAGGGATGATCGCGAGCTTGTCCGAGGTGTCACCTCGATCGACTCGGGCCTTCTGAACGGTGCGAGGTGTCAAGCAGCAGCACTGGAAAGACAGAAGCGGCGAGGAGTGATTCTGGCCTACGCCATCCCCCCACGTTGCACCCCGGGCCTCAAATCGGTGCTCGTTAACAGCTCTTGCTCAACACTCTATGGAGGCTATACTAGGGATCTCGAGACAACGTGACACATCATTAATTTAAATGCAATAACGGTCCCTGTATGTAAGTAGGCGAGAGCCCATCGAAATTCATTCGCGTTTTTCAAGAGACTTGAAAACTGTGCTTATGGTACACGTAGGGGCCATTGTATAATATATATGCATGCACTATAAATACTACAGAGGAAATAATAATAACAATAATTTACAGCCATTGGTACACGAGTGGGTGGGGGGGCAGCACCACACCCGACCGCCTTTGTCTCCCGAGTGGCGATGTTTACACACTGCACTGGGAACTCATTCGAGTCGACCTAGGGGAGGCCCAGGATCAGTTCAGATAATTGTCACTTGTGTTGGCCGTGAGCGAGAATCGAACTCGGGTCGCTGGATCCGCAGTGCAGCACGCTGACAACAATATCGCCCCGCTATATACACATGCGCACACACACGCAGACAACCCCTTCAGAAAATCCCAGGATTTTGAAAAAAAGGCATTTTCGCTTACAATGCACATCTCTCAGTGTGGATCACAGCTCACGAAGCACATGGACCTATTTATCCAAACAAACATTTAAAGTAAAAACTAACATTGAATCCAGAACTTGAAACAAAATGCCATCCTCCTTAATCAAGTGCTCATGCATCCTCAACACGTTCCACATTGGGGCACCTTAGTCATTGGCAACGCTGCACTGCCTGCTGACATATCTTGCCTTGATGCCAACTGATTGATGTAACGGAGTAAAGTCCAGGCTACGAAATTGTATAAACAGTTAACCCTCGATTATCCACGGTATATTTTCATGTGCACGTTGGTATAATAATTCGATACTCCTTACTCGCCGAGGGGTCAGTGATTCCAGTAACCACGTCACCGCAAACAAAGGTCAGCAAAATTCAGAAGCAACAACAACAGACGTCTTCACGCCCCCCCTCCCCCCCCCATCGTTTGACATAGTTGAACGCCCGATTATGTAGCCTAATGTACGCGTGTTTTGTGTTTGCCGTGTTTCTGTTTAATCTGAGATAACCCCGCTCTCCCGCCCGCCCCCACATTACCCCTGATAAGCACGAGTTGGCTGTGTGTATTCACGCCTCGGTTTTCAGGGTAGAACGCCTCCTCTCCAATTGTGCAAACCACTCTTTAGAGCACGCGCAAATGAGCACGCCCGCTGTAGCAATTTAGCAATTTCTTCCGTTCCGAATATTTCTGAACCGTGGATTGTTTATGTAACCTAAAGCAACGCCCCGACAACTGCTGGATAGTTACTACAGGACAATGATTATATTGCTTTGAGAGCAATACGTCAACCCACTGCTGGATATCGACCTACCCATGCCGCGTTGGCCATGGGGTGTGTTTTACCATACTACACGCTGATCAGTGCAGTTGGTGAAGTGATGTGGACCAGGACTGGTTCAGATATGACTCGCCACTGACGCGAGTTAGATTCCCGGCATTGGATCAAAGCGCAGAGTGTAAATCACTGTACTGTTTCCCCCCCCCCCTCCCTCTTCACTCCCTTATGTAATATTTAATAACAGCGCTGATGATCAGGAATGAATGCATCAATTCATCAATATTTATTGCGCTGAATCGTGAGCCTGCGAACTGATAGAATTACAACGTTGCAATTGTTTAAGCAAAACAACGCACGGATATTACATCGAGGCGAACGGAGCAAATACAACTGAACAAAAGTGACCCTCCTGCAAAAAGACAAACAGGTCATGACCCCAAACTGTGACAATTCATGAACTCCGCTGGGGTGAAGAGGTGAGAAGATGAACTAAGAGACACCAACGGGGCTGCAGTTCCAACGTTCGTAAGCAAGTTTCCGCACGCACGCACAAATGCCTGCGTATGCGTCCGCGTTTTCTTGTGCGCGCACGCGCGTTACGCTTCCGCATCGCGTGCGTGTGCGCGCGATGCGCAGGGTCTTAGTGGTGCATCCCGGAATAAGTGCTTCCTGGAAAGACCCTCGGATTATTCCGCCGAAGCCGCAGCTCGTTAATACAATTAAAGCCCCACGCCTCGTCGTTTCCTGCAATCGACGTGCATTAGCGCGGGGCTCTAACCCCAGCAGCGTTGGAGCGCTGCTCCGTTAGAGGCCATCCA